GAAGTTCCTATATGGAGGAATGTGGGATGTTCATAGGCAACTGGACCCACTTTTCAAAGCAATAAAAAAACCAGCAGCAAACACAGCTATTGGGCTGTCCTATTTAGAAGCAACTATATAGTCTTCAGTTTGCCAAATTTTAGTTTGATGACAAACAAAATGGTTATTTTTTTTCCTGCATGCCTCTGAAACTAAAGTATTTTGCTTCTTAACTTGGTATTATGCCATTAACAGAAAGGAGCAGTCACCATGATTGCATGTGGCAGAGGGGTCAGATTGTGCTGAGGCCCCACTGCCATCTTGTGTCCCAGTACTGAACGTGTTTTCCTGTTAGGAACTTCGTTCTAGCTCTGCACGTGGAAATCTCATCTTCACCTCTCCAGCTGTCAAGCACGTGAAAGTCGGATGATTATCAAGTCAGCTACATAGATCTGACAGTTTTATATATCTAATGTGCTTTCATGTTGGGAAGGGATCAAGAATTTTATTAAGAAACTGGCAAAAAAACCCCAATAAAGATGCACTATATGACTATGTCTTTCTCTTCCCAACAGCCACAGCACTGTGTCTGTGTGTGAACTGTCCTCCAGTGAAACCAGAAATAATGAAAAAGACGACCCCTTAATCATGGATGAGATGCCATTTCTCAGTTTGATACCTAGAGATGTTCTTTCCGATTACGAAGAAAGCAGCATCATTCAGGAAGTGCGTAAAGAATTAGAAAGTCTGGAGGACCAAACAGGTTTGAAGGAGCCTGACTCAGCTCATGACCTGCTTTTGGGAGATGAAATTTAAAGTCCAAACACCACACAGTTTAGTTATTCAGTTATTTCTAGGAATTTTTGTCTAGTGTCGTGCTTATATAAACCCTAAACACATACTCCTGGATAGAAGTGCAATAAACAAGGTTTTTCGATGAGCAGCCTTTCCTGTGCACCAAAGCTGCATGTTCGAACTATTGTTGATTTCATTCTATCAATCCTTGGACCAAACTTCTGGGTAAAGACAAATGACAAATACCAGTGTTTCCTTTGGATTCGTACTTTCCCCTTTTACGGTAGAAATAAACTTATCACATCAGTACTTGTACTCATTAAATATAAACATATTAACTTATTAGTGACCCTAGAAGTCTTGAGTGTTTCCTGTACATATTTTTGGAATGGTTTATTTTTCTAGAGTAAGAACTATCTACTTGCTTTGAACTGTTTTTGGCCATTGATCTTGAGCTACATGTTTTTCTTTCAAAAATATAATCAGTGAAGCTGCAACATATAGATGCAGAGGCTTTTTTTTTCCCCCTACATTGTGGGAGGAAGAATGAACAGATAAAGGATGCCTTCCCCTTTTATGTGACTATGCCCAGAGCTCCTTTTCAGCTGTGTACAAGGGAGATCATTTGTCTTGCAGCAAACTTCAATGTAACTTACATACTGGTGTTCCACAGATATAAAGTATTCCCTGAGTTTTCTGCTTTCAGAAAGAATGGTCCTTGACCGCTCACAGTGTGTAGGGGGCACATCACCAGGAAAACACCACTACCACCTCCACCCAGCCCTCCCACATTTTGCATATGGAAAAAAATGGTGTGTGCATACTTATACACAAATTCATTTGTATATAGGAACTTTCAGGCTGGCTGTTCAGAGCTCTTTATCTCCTAAAGGCAAAAAAATCTATTTAAAATTGCAAAACCAACATAAATGGGCTGAATACCAAGCATACAGATTCTCTGCTGTACACTGAACATCTCTCTCTCTCTGTCTATCTATATAAAATAGTGCAGCTGCACTTGGAAGGCTGTACCTAAGCTAGAGCAAATTACAGCACCACACGGATAGCAGCATTTTTGCACTATGTGAACATACAGGGATGGCTGGGTGACTCCACTGTCACTCAGCATTCTTGGGACAGAAAGGGGTAGTGAACACAAATTTGTTAGTTCAATTCAGCAGTAAGGCAGCCTAAACAGCTTCTTGTTCATATCTAGGGACTTACACCGTGAGCTCCCACTTGACTCCATCTACATCCAGAGGCAATTCTTTTAAGAAATAATTTGTTCTTTTAAGAAATAATTTGTTCTTTTAATACACTTCATAGGTATAAATCGGTGTTACAAAGCGTGAATTTTATCATTACCATTTTAACAGGTCATTTGATTTAAGAAATCAATAGCAAGTTAAGAATACAGTCTGATCCATCAAACTCCCAGGTTCCCAGCTGTCTCGCAACACTTTGCTACAATTAATAGCTTTTCCACTATTACTGATTTTTGGGGGTATGGATTTCACCATCTGTTACTGGATATATTACCAGATGTCATAAGGCTCCAGCCACAGAGCTTCTTCCCAAACATAAGTCCCTACTATTTATGCTGAATCTGAGCGCTGAGCACCAATAACTAAGCAAGAGGAGTTAGACTATGCTATTATTAGCCTACAGGTCTTCAGCCAGTTCTGGTCTATGAAAGCCTTTCAACAAATTCCTTGGGTGCCAGAATCTGGGTGAATAATGATGATCACTATACTATGCACATTTCATTAGAAGAGTCTAGCTTTTAAAGATTCATTTCTACCAATTCTCACATCAGCACACGCACAAATACACATGATCTCTGCCCAATCTGAGTTCACTGAATTACCTCTCCTTTCTATCCCATATAGAATTGCTCTGCTTTAGACATAGCCCATCTATACAGTGATTTTCCTGTTAAAGATCTACTTCAAGAGAGCAGGGATTGTCCATAAATACTACCCTATTTAAGAAGGATAACGTTATTCTCCCTTCAAGTTTCCTGATGCCTCAGCCCCTAAAAGGCAAAACAGTTGATTCTCATTAGGTATTCTCAATAAGATTTCAGCAGAACTAAACTAATTAGAAACTGGATTTGTTTTCTTTTCTTTAAAATGCCCATGGCCAAGCTCAAAACAAAATGATCAGAATATAAAGCAGATGCTGAAAAATGTCTCCCAGAACACCCAGGATATGTATGCCAATACACTGGTACAAAAGTGTGCTACTGGACAGAAAATCATTATAAAGATGGCCTTCAGTCTTCCACATCCAGGTTTCGATCAAAACTTGTAGGTTTAAAACCAATTGCTCCAAAGAATTTGCTCAGCTAAAGTTTACCAAACAGTGCTAGAGATTAAGCAAGTACTTAACTCCATCTCCTTTTTTTTTTTTTTTTTGCTTCCCCAAATGTTTGCGCCTGAAGAAAATTCATGACGCATTTGATTGCTAATTCTTCCCCTCACCTTCCAACAACTCTAAGCCGTCTACATATGCACATAACAGTAGTTTAATGAAGCTACTCCACCTGCTGGATGGTGGTCACACCGTGCTTCCTTCCCTTCTGCTTCCATCTCACTTACGATGGACACGAGCAGCATAGACTAAATGGAAAAGGCTGAACGAGGGAGCTCCTCTACACAGCCCAGGTTCTTCACGCTGCCGGATTCCTCAGGCTGCTTAGGTTGCTGTACGTCAGTGTGCAGAGAGGAACTGCACATTTGATTCTCCAAATAAGTTTGTCTTCTCTGGGACAGAACTTAGCTGCCAATTATACCTGGAGCTTACAAGTTTCACTGGTGAGGAATCCAATTCTAGAAAGGAAGGCTACAGGCGGAAAAAAATTCCCTGTGAATATAAGCAAAGAGCAGCAGCAGACAGGTTACAAAACATCTCCAGTAATAATACCCTGTGTCAAAGTGTGGAGTATGTGTGTGTATATACACATGCATACATACAGCCTTGAAATTCAGACCAACTGTCTTGGAAAAGTCTGCATTTCCATAAAATAATTCTGTAATTTTTCAAATAAATCCACAGCATTTAATGATCAAAATAACACAACAGAAGGAACAAATGTTTTATTGGCATGTTCATTGTTGTAAACAGCATCTGGCATGAAAAAGTTTACCAAAATCTTTTGATTATTATAAATTAGGTGGTTTTCCAAAAACTTATGGATAATTGTTCTCTATTGATCTTTATGGAACAAAGCAAAAAAATTGCTGTTCTAGGCCTTGCAATGAAATCATGTTGACTACATCAGTCTTTGCACCAGAACCTGAACTACTAAGAAGTCTGTATGTTGAGGTGTTAGAGGTTGCCCAAATATTTAACTACAAATAGCTATGGAATCAACTCCAGGAAAAAATAAAATGATTTTCAGCAGGTGGAAAAGATGCAAACTTGTAATAGTCCAAAAAAAAAAAAGTACAAAAAAAAAAAAGGAGTAGCTGAACAAAACAAAAGCTTCATTAACAAGGGGAAATACAATCCTAAAGTACCCAGCATTATCAAACATAAAATGAATACAAATTTAAATAGGCAACTATACTTTCAAATGTACACAATGAATGTTGATATGTGAAAAGAAATACCATGGTAAATAGTTGAACTGCGGTTGTTAAATGGAGAGGGCAAATTTTATTTACACATTGAATGCAATAATAGAGCTGCTCACCAGCTTCCATAACCTATTAAAAATCAGTTTACCTTACACAGCGCTTCTGCAAAACGAGCCAACATCAGCTGGCAGCTTTCTAAAGACACCTGTCTTAGCCTGTCTCTTTGTGGAAGAATATTCTAAAACCTTACACTTGTAGCGCTTCCATTACTTTTCCAATCCCTTGTTGCTGCTCTTCTATAACCAATGAGTTAACATTTATTTCAGACTCTCTGATGAGGTAATGTGTGTATCAGTGAAACAAACAGGAAAAAAAAAAAAGAGGATTCTTTCATGGCCTTTGCACAGCTTTTATTATTAAGCTATGAATATCCTGTTTGAGGCTAGTTTCACTAGCTACTATGTGCACACTGTCCTCAAAAATTTCCACTCATTTCCCTCCCCGCCCACTTTTTAGTTCTAATCTTATATTTGCACATCCCTTTTAACTTTACAGTACATTTGACTATAGTGCACAACATGATTCCAAGTCAAACAGTGACCCAAAGGGGCACTGCGCTTCTGACTGGGAACGCAGCCCAATCGGTGCTGGTGTCAGCGCTTTACACCTAATGAGTGTCCTGCCGTAATGGCACTACACAGTAGTAGTGAACCTTTTTTTTTTTTTTTTTTAATTTTGAACAAAAAAATTCCCCAGGGAAAATGCTAGCAAGTATCAGTCTTGAGTCAAATCTTTATTTGGTGCTCCATCCAGATAAATTTTTAGTGCTTTTTCTTTACGAGGAGAGTAAGTTACCCGGTGTCCAGTTTTCTGCAGTCTGCTGCTTTCTCTTTTCATCAGTTCATTTCTCTGCTCCTCTGTTAACTCCATTAATTCTTCAGTTTTATCCCTAAAATGAAAATATATCCTTAAGAAAATATATATCTTAAAACTACCATTTTCAAAGTAACATTTTTATCCTAGTATCATGCATCCCAGAAAGCCATGTAAATTTTTCAAAAGAGATCACCTCAAAAAATAAAATCCTTGCTATCTAGGACTTATGGCAAAATTCCCACAGATTCCAGTGGGGATCCAGATACATACATCCAAGCATAGCAAATATTTTTATATTCAACATTATTGTTGATGCTTTGGGAGGAGGAGAGAACGTAAAACAGCAAAGTTGGTTTTTGTAAATAAAATAAACTTCATTAATATTCAGGTATGTAGGAAGCTGAGGAGCATAAATATTTCAGCTCAATGTTTTCAACCCTCTTACCATAAGTACTTTCCCAAGACAACAGAAGAAGAATATTTTTAGGCTTCTGTTGATTAATTACATCATTCCACAATCTAACATGCAGATTTTTTTTTTTTTTAAACACAGTTTATTATTAATCGTAATATGTACCTATAAAATATTACTGCACCATCATCGCAAATGTACAGAGGCCAGACATTCAGTGTAGATACTTTAGGATTCCAGTCCAAGTCCTGGTGAATCTCTAGTACGGAAATGTCACATGGAAACGTTCCTCTACCCTGAGAAGAAGGAATTACTTAGTGAATAAAATCACACATTTACCCCAATACAATATAAAATGTACATATAATCTTACTAACCTTTGCAAATTCTATATTTTCTAAGGGTATTCCACTTATTTCACTCAGCTGTAAAATAAAGAAAAAATGGTGGTTTAATACTATTCCACAGCAATA